AACTTTTCTTTTCGTTGGGGATTTGCATTGGTGGACAACTGATGCTGAACTTGAGGCAGAGCTGTGCAAGTATGGTGCAGTGAAGGAGGTTAAGTTCTTTGATGAGAAAGCTAGTGGGAAGTCGAAAGGGTATTGTCAAGTGGAATTCTATGATCCTATGGCTGCCACGGCTTGCAAAGAGGGGATGAATGGGTATGCATTCAACGGTAGGCCTTGCGTTGTTGAGTATGCCTCTCCGTATTCGGTTAAGAGAATGGGAGAGGCACAGGTGAATAGGACCCAACAGGCGCAATCTGTACTAGCACAAGCTAAGAGAGGAGGGCCTGCTGATCCTCCTGCTAAACCTGTCGTGACCAACAACAACGCCATTGGCGGGAATTTCCAAGGAGGGGAAAATAGAGGTTTTGGTAGAGGCAATTGGGGTAGAGGCAATGGGCAAGGAATGGGTGGTAGAGGGCCAGGTGGTCCAATGAGGAATAGGCCTGGAGGGATGGGGGGAAGAGGTTTGATGGGTAATGGTGGAGGTGGGTTCGGTCAGGGAATGGGTACCGGGCCTCCTATGAATATGATGCATCAATCAATGATGGGGCAAGGGTTTGAACAAGCTTTTGGTGGACCGATGGCAAGAATGGGAGGCTATGGAGGCTTCCCTGGGGCTCCGGGTCCACCATTTCCTGGGCTTTTGTCCTCATTCCCTCCTGTAGGAGGAGTTGGTTTACCTGGCGTTGCACCTCATGTGAATCCAGCGTTTTTCGGAAGAGGGATGCCGATGAATGGAATGGGAATGATGCCTAATACTGGTGTTGATGGAGGGCACAATATGGGAATGTGGGATCCTAATAGTGGAGGATGGGCTGGTGGTGATGATTTGGGTGGTGGAAGAGCTGCGGAATCGAGTTATGGGGAGGAAGCTGCCTCTGATCATCAGTATGGAGAAGTTAATCACGATCGAGGGGCTCGTCCAAACCCTGTGAAGGAAAAAGAAAGAGGTTCAGAAAGGGAATGGTCTGGTTCATCTGATAGAAGGAATCGCGAGGATAAAGATGCTGGTTATGAAAGAGACATGCCTAGGGAGAAAGATGTTGGCCATGGTTATGATTTGCCAGAGAGAAGGCATCGTGATGATAGAGACACTGGTCGTCAGCGTGAGAGGGAGCATCATCATAAGGACCGCGAACGCTCCAGAGATCGCGAGCGAGAGCGTGATCGTGACAGAGAAAGGGAGAGGGATCGTCCTAGAGAAGAACGAGAAAGATATGGTGGTGACCATCGTAGTAGACACAGGGAAGAACCCGAGCATGATGATGAATGGAACAGAGGTCGGTCATCCAGAGGACATAGCAAATCAAGATTGTCTCGGGAGGATAACCATCGCTCAAGATCAAGGGATGCTGATTATGGGAAAAGAAGGCGGCTTACTACTGAATAAGTATTGTATAAAAAGACAAGTAAGTAGTTGAATCTAACGGTATTTTTCATTCCTCATGTATCTTTAATTATACCATCTTCATGCTTTGCTTTAAGACAGCTAATTACTGGCCTGGTTAGAGTTTCTGACTAAAAGTTAGCTATCTGCATGAAAAGGTTTTGGTCTCATTGTCTAGAACCATGTATGCTGTCTTAGAACACCGCTTGTTCGAGTTGATATCAGTCATAGTTGTGTATACTAGTACGCATAACTAATCTTTCCAGTTTTTTTGGCTGATTAAGGTTTCTGTTGTCTTCTTATATTCATAGTGTTTATGGGTAGATTGACTTTGAGAGCTCCTGCAATACTCTAAACCGACATG